CCTCCACCAGTGTCTATGCAAGAATCTCTACCACTGTTTGTGGGAGAATCTGTAGAAGGAATGAGGGATAATTGAAGTTCAGAGGTAGTAACAATAGCAACTCACCCTGTTCACTCCTGATGCACCTCTTAGAGCGCTTCCTGTGATGGTCCCCTGCTTCTTCCGGGCTTGTAACTCATGCCACCAATCTGGATAGCCATGCAATTTAAAGCATGTATCTCGAGTGTGCTTTGTGTTTCCACAGTGAGTGCACTTTCCCCCACTAAATTGATTCTTAGAGTTGGTTCTTAATCCTCCCTTCATCAAATGTGGTTGTTTACCCCCTGTAGTGATCATAACAGCACCATCAGAGGGAGTCTCCAACCCATATGACATCATTGATTGGCAAGAATCCTCCCTTCAGACGTATGTATAAGCTTGCTCAACAGTGGGGAAGGGCTTCAGCTGAAGAACATCACTCCTAATGTTGTCAAGTCTGTCATTCAATCCATCTAAATAAACATAGACTCTTTCCTCCTGTAGGAGAGTTCTATTTTTGTATATATGAGGCACATTCCATTGGATTAGGACGACAAAAGTTGATTTCACGCCATAATCCTTGCAGGTCATTGTAGTACTTCTCAATGGATCTATCGCCTTGTCGTATTCGACTAACACGTCGCCGAAGGTCATAAACTTATGATGAGTCCGAACCATCAAAGTAGGTTGTAGCAATTGAATCCCAAACCTATTTAGCCGTCGTGAAACGGATGAAGTTTTTGACTAGGGAGGACTCCATTGAGTTTATCAACCACCCTTTGACAATGACATTTTCAGTTCACCATTTTCAAAAGGATATGATGGGTCATTTTCTGGTAGCTATGAGAGATCTCCATTGATGTACCCTAGTTTGTCCTTGCCTACAATGTACATCTCAACAACTTGGGACCACAACGCATAATTCAATCTATCTAACTTTACATTTATTAGAACTTTCGTAGAATTAGAGATGGGTGATGAGGTATTGGCTATCATCATGGCCTGTGTTATCTTGGTCGTTAAACTTTCGAGTGTGGATTCAACAGAGGTGGAGGTTTTGGCCGTCTTGGCTGTTGGTGATGGTGGGTCTTCCATTGATGCACGAAGCGCAAGTTTCCTTTCTAGATCTATTCATAAGAACCCAGAACCTTGCACTCTGATACCATATCGGAACATAATTCGTTGTCTTTCTCATTCATAAGGTATTCAAATAAATACAGTTATAGAGGAATAATTATAGGGAGGTATAAAAGAAAACAAAATATCTGATACTAAACTACTGTCATCCCTTAATCATAAGAATCTCAACAGCTATAATCCTAATTACACACAAGATCTGGTATATTTGTTGACTCATACCAATACTCTCATGAATGATATCTACACTCTAGATTTTAAAAAAAGAATTTACTCCTTTCTAAATTAATCTTGCAAAAAAAATACTAAAATTCCTCAAATATTTTTTTAGTTATCTCTAACATAAATGTACTTTGGAATTCTAGCCTGACCAAAATTGACTGCCATAGCTTGTCTTTTGTTTTAGAGATTTATCAAAACAAAATAAATATCTTTTTTATCCAAATTATATTAATCTACTATTTAATTATAAATTTAATCCTGAAATATACAAATATAATATAATGACGACGCATCTGTTTACACCTAGATCATGAGAAAAAGAATTTATTATTATTATTATTATTATTATTATTATTATTATTATTATTATCTGAAAATGGAGTTATTGGGTCATATAAAAAAAGCTGTATATTATACAAGGCAAAGCATGAGATTAACAAAAAATACTGAAATTAAAATTTTCGTATTTCCTTTAAAATGATATATAGTGCTAGGAGTCTTAGTGATGGTCAAGACTACAATATTTTGTATCTAATCAAGCACTCTGTCTTAAGGACATAACTATAAGGGTACTAGGAATGATAGTTAAACAAATTATATATAAAATTTGTTTGGACTTATAACAATGTTTTCTCTGTGAATAACTATTACTGAATAGCTACAGCACACTTCAAGAAAAATGATGGAAGAAAACACGAGAAATTAAAATATAGTTAGAAACCAAAAGTAACAACTAATAAAGATATTTGCAAATTGATATTTTTCTAATACAAATATACTTGTTTCTATTTGCAAGTTGCAGTTCTCTTCGTTGTCTGAACTCTGTACGACAATATTTAAAAACAAGTGGAATCTGTTAGCAATCTTAAATATTGGAGGTGACAACTCACTGATTAGTAACTAAATAATTAGCGATTGACTTTTTGGTACAGATGATATTGCAGTGCGTTTGCTGAGATGGCTATCACGTCAAGTTGCTCATCTCTGGGCATGTGCTGATTGCGTTGAAATGTTACGTAAAACTATAAATTAGTTCTTAGTACAGTAATGGGTTGAGTATATGTTTTGTTAGTCTTTGATGCAGCACACTAAAAAAAATGTGGTAATTTTGTCGAAGTTGGAGGATCCTTTGGTGCTACAAATTGCATGGATGGCTATGGCTGAGCCAAAACTAGAATTGGGTCAAGATGGGCATAGCCAGGGTTCGTGTTATGGATTATTATGCAGAAGTCAAAATGGCCATCGTAGTTGCATGGGTCACTCATTGTAAGATTACTTAGAATTTCATTTTCTCGGTTGTGTTTCTAACGGCTGTTAAAGGAAAAAGATTGGGTATATAAAAATTTAGGGATGTAAAGCATGTATATATAAAAAAGAACATTGACAAAGACTATAATCAAAAGTGCATGTAAATGAATAGACTTCTTTCATATTTAAGATTTATTTTATTTTATTGAAACGTGATTTTGTAAAAGAATAATATAAGATTTAAATAAATATTGACTTTTTAATTAAAAATTTTGAATAAATAAAATTTCAAGTTCGAATTTTTATATAAATACAAAATATCTTTAATGGTAGACTCATATTCATAATATTTTAGATACACGACGTGAATCAAATTTGAATTAAAACAAATAAAGAAAAAAAATTTGAGTAATTTTTTTAAAAAAAATACATAATTACATTAATTTTTCTTTTAGTTTAAAAAATTATAACTTCTTTCTTTTAAAAATTTAATCAATTCTAAGTTTTCAATAAAGCACTTTTAAACATTTATTTGAAATTTTTTATACTAAAATATTCTTTTTTTAATGAATTTTATATTTATTTATCAAAATTTCAAGAAGCTCAATGAAGTGAATCTATTTTTCATGAAACAATAACTACTTCTCATTGTTATAAAAGTTTTAAAAGTTTATCTCAACATTAAATAATAAAAATCTAAAAAAATATTATATTTGATAAAAATGTATAAAATGTAAATGACGTGAGGCTTTAATGCTTTTAAAGATTACGGTAAAGTTAAAAATTAAAAATTTAAAGAATACAAATGAAAACTAAACTATGAGTAATGAATAAATTAATAAGTTTTAAATATATACTAAATTTTATTATAAATTTTTTTTTCAAAATAATTAACATTTTTAAATTTAAATTACATCATTTTAAACTTATTTTAAGATAAAATCAATTGCAAAAATTTATATATATTTTTTCAAAATCATGTTTATAAACTCCTATCAAAAGATATTGCACTTACTCATCTAAAATAATAATAATAATAATAATAATAATAATAATAATAATAGAAAATTTCTCCAGTATCTTCGAATATTGAGAAGTTTGTATACCCTTTTAATATCAATCAGGAAATTAACAATAACGTGTATTGACAAAATCATCATATATAATTATTAATTATATAAGAGTATTTTATATTTTTATATTTTTTACAAAGTATTCTCATTTAATTTTTTAAAAATTTATAAAGATATCCAATCTAAAGCCATTGACATCCTAGTCAATCTTCTATTGTGTCAGCTGTGTCATCCTAAATCTATCGAACATCTTCGTTTGTTCTCCACTGAACATCATACGCTAGCAACGAATCACAGTCACCTGTTCACCAAAAACGAAAAAAAGAATCACAATCACCAGCTCAGATTTCTCATGTAAAGAGCTTTTAGAATATATATAACCATTGCAAGGCCCATGATTTGTTAGATTTATCTCATTCCCCTGCATTCCAACCCTGTCTAATGGGCATAAACCATTTCCCCAAGTAAACTCTCATTCACATATTATTTCTGTAAATAGGATTTAATATAAAACTAACCCAAATTCAATTATAAACTAATTGTGTAAATAGGATTTTAAATCCAAATTGATTTATTTTTTTTAAAATGGATTAATTCTGATTTTAAATTGGTTTTTGGACAAAACCCAAATTTGACAGTAGCTTCCATGTAAGATTCTCTTGTTTTCAAAATTAGGGAATCCCACCACCCAAAGCCAAATCAAGACAAACTTCTATTGAAAACATCAAATATTCAATTATCAAAAAATGGAGAGGAAAAACTAAACGGAAGATGCATCTTAGAACTTGAAATTTTACTAGCCAATCTCAATTGTAACGGTGCATGCTTATAACAAAACCGAAGTATTATATGTGCTAAACCACCAGAAAATATAGTGCTGCGTTAGAGTTTAAATTACAAGCAAGTGATTTCGAGTTAAAAACTCCATGAAATAAATAGTAATTCAGCCCTCCTAACAAGGAGAACTTCGACACTCCTCCAGACGAGAATTAATCAATCAACATAATTGTAGGTTGACAGGTTCTATGTAGTTCCTACCGTCACTTCAATTTTAGCTATGGTTCTGAGGAACTTTCCAACTTAAAAAAATATGACTAATTATGACGTAAGAAGCAACTTAGACATGTCGAGATATTATAAGTTCACATTTTAGTAACAATTCTTCAATATTTTATGGAAATAAAATCACCCGTGGATGTCAAAAGACTAAGCACATTTGAAAATATAAAGAAATGCATTAGATGAGGAATATGGAAAATCCATCAGATTCCAATACTGCTATCAATATATGAGACCATAAATTCATTCATTATTAGTAATTTCTCTCTTTTCTTCCTCCGTACCATCGTTTACCTTGACAGATGAGACAATTTCATTATCCTGTTCCAAATCTTCTTGCTTGTTTATTTCACTAACTTCCTCCAAGGGCTTGTAAGTGTAAAACCAAGCACATATTAAATAATAAATGAGATTTATAACTTGAATCCCACTAACAAGAAAATAATAGCACTCCAATCTACCCCTATTGAGGTTCCTATTAGGTAACCAATTCCTTTCCTTGCCAGAATACTTATGCACTAGTGACACCAATAATGTACCAACATAGTTTCCAATTGCTGTAGTTATGCAATATAGAGCAGTAGCACTACTTCTCATGCTTTCAGGTGATTGATCATAGAGAAATTCCAAGTGTCCAACAATCATGAAAACTTCAGCCACCCCATGTAGACAATATTGTGGTACCAACCAAAATACACTAATAGGAATAGTGGCATTAGGATCATCTAATAAATGGTACTTGGCAGCAACTTGTTTTCTTTTGATTTCCACAAGTGCTGAAACTAATGTGGCTACAATGTTAACAACAAAACCTACTCCCATTCTTTGTAGGCATGTGATTCCTGAAGGTTTCCCAGTGAATCTACGGGCAAAGGGAACAAAGAGGCGTTCATAGAGAACAACACCTACTATCATGGTTAGAACATTGAAAATGGACATGCTAGCTGGGGGAATTTGGAATGAATGAGAGAGGTGACGGTTCATTGTGCGAGCTTGTTGAATCACAAAGCTTTGTTGATTTGATGAAGCAGTTACGAGCAAAATTCCTGATGCCCAAATTGGAAGCATTCTAATTATGCATTTTAGCTCCTCAACTCTGTGGACAGTGGCTAATTTCCACAAGTTTGGTGGTGCATTTGGATCTCTGGACTCTTCCTCTGTCACAGTTGCAGCCTTGTCTAACCATCTGCATTTGAATAGTCAAGTGATGTTGAATATACAAATGCAAATTCAGTCACTAAATTATCAAAGATACTTGCAAATGTAAGGTGAATAAGGCCCGTTCAAAATAAAAGAAGCCCCACGTTACTTGAAAATACGAGAAGTAAATACAATATAAGTAAGAGATACGTAAGTCTAGTTATTGAGGAAATAAAGACACCATCCTTAATCTAAATAATTCTTACAACTAATAATGGTGATCCTTATTATTTGATAACAATTTTCTTATTCTCTTCTCAAAATTTATTTATTTATATTTATATTTTTTAGATCACCTATTTTTTAATAACAAGATATTAAGGGAAAATTACATGCAAGAACCAACATGATTGCTTTTTTAGTTCTAAATTATATTAAAAATTCTTGTGTCTTTTGTTCTTGAGTGTTACCCAATGTTATTATAATTGTGGAAAAAAACCAAATTCAGATAATCACTTAAACTTACTTAAATTGATCGGCGTGTAAAAGCCTTCCTTCCAAAGAAATAGCAGCATCGAGCTCCCTATTTTGGTACAAAAACTTGGGATCCTCTGGCAAAGCCTCCTTCCTCTTCCTTATAGCTGCCACAAGCACTTGGGCCAAACGAACCAATGGACTACTACCTGGTTTCACAGTCTTATAGAGTGGTGAGCCCAACACAAAGGCTATGATGGATAAGAACATTGCAATGGTTGGAATCCCAAGGCCCCAGCCCCAACCCAAGTTGTCTTGAATGTAAACCACAATGGTCAAAGCACTTAGAGAAGCCAATCCCATGCAAAAAAAGTACCAATTGAAGAGGTTCCACTTCCTTGATTCCACACCTTTCTTGGTCATATCAAATTGGTCTGCTGAAAAGGGCACAACACAAGGTCTAATACCACCTGTCCCAAGTGAAATGAGGAATAGAGAGGTGTAGAGTATCCATAGTTGTGATGATGTGGCTTTTTGGCAATTCACTTGAGTTGGGCATGGTGTGGGGTGCAGATATGGCAGTACAGCTGATACAGTTATCACAACCAATCCCTGCATCAAGGAAAATAATATGGCAAAATTACTGGCAGAATAATTTGCAAAATGTTTACACCAGAACACTTCATTTGGATTGAAATTGTTTCAGATTGATATGATTGATCATAGAAAGATATTTGAAATTTGAGAGTTTAAAATCTAACTTATAAACAAATATTTAAATTAAAAATGTTAGAAAATAAAAGTGTTGAATCTTTAAAATTAGTTTTAAAAAATCTTGCATTTTTAGTTACATTTAATCTCATTCTTTTTTTCTTATGTCATGCTACATGGCTTATATTGTACCTCTCTCACTAAAGACATATACTTGTTAACCAATGTTTTGAAGACACCAATTAAGAAATCAAAAATAATTTTTTTATTAAAATCATACTAGAATACATTAAAAATTACCGAAAATGTATATCAATAATATTTTTTAATAAAAATTTTGCACTTTTGATTCTTTAACCTACACCCTTTAGGCACTGTTTAACATTTGTCAACTTTTAATTAAGATAAATATTTAAAATAGTTGAGAGTTATATCCAAGCTTGATGAGGATAATCAGCAGTTGACTATTACAGCGATTTACTGTAGAGAGATAAGCGGAGAATGTAAGAAACCAGTTCATAGATGAAAGAAGCCACAACAATGGTCCAAAATCGGCCAGCATAGGAATCAGCAATGAAAGCACCAAGCAGAGGAGTGAAGTTTGATGTGCCAGTAAAGTTGGTGAGAGTGATGGAGGCTGATACCAATGGCATGTTCATCTGTTGTGTAAGGTAGGTTATCATGTTCGAATGAAAACCAGAGCTCGCAAATCTGTCACATATTTCATTTGCTGCACATTCATATGCATAACACACAAGGCCAAATTAATCTTTGGTTCATATATATATATATAGGCAGAATCTTCTTATACTAGTATAAGTCTAAAAAATCTTATATTTGTATGAACCTTTTATTTAACTTTAATGAAAAATTTAAATTGAATGTAAGAATTTTTATATTTATATTAGTTTAAGAAGGATATATATATATATATACTAAGACATTTTTTTATTATTCTTTTTAATAACAGAAATTATGAATGTCATAAATTCTCAGGGCCATTCTTTGTGCTCTTATGCGTGCGTGCATATTGCATTATAGAAACTGTAGTTTCATGAAGGTAAAAATTTAAAAGAATGAAAGAAGAATTATAAAGATTAATGGAAGTATTGATGCATTAGTATTTGAAAAAATAATTACAATATATTAAGTATATCCTAGTGTCAAACTTTATTATTATATTAATCGTTAAGAAGCTGGAAAAAATTAATAATAAAGAATAAATAAGTAAAAAATTAATAAATATTTTTAAAATTTTATAAGAGATTGTATATTATAAATATCAATATTTTTTATTTTTAAATAAAAAAAGACCGGAAGGAACAATCACATAACCGTATCAGTTCATTGATAAACAGTTTTATTTGTACATATAGAAATAGCAAAATTTGCAACATATAGCCTAGTACTCTTAGTCTTCTCTAATACTATTAATTAATTCGAGTAATTGATTTATAAAAGGAGCTAAGCCAACATATATTTGGTACTGAAAACAATACATTTTGACATCATAACTTATTATTAATTATACTACTTCATTGCTAGATAGTAAATGAAAAAGAAATGCATTTGCACGTATTCCATTTATTTTGTATAAATAATGTCACATTTTTTATTGTACAAATATCATTACTCATTCAATGGACACTAATTTTAACGAGTTAAAGTAAAAAAAGAAAAAAAAAGTTTGCATCTAATTTCAACTTGTAAAATAATATCTAAGTTTAAGATTGTCTTAAGTTTGTAAAAATTTTTCAGACTGAACTTCCATTCGAACTTAATCAAACGAGATTTTAAAAAATGTAAATTGAATTTAAAATTAAAATTAACAGGTGAATCCAACAAAACTAGTCCAGTGTAACTTATGTACAAGTGCAAATTCAACGATGGCACTTAGTATAGAGAATCCCACAAGCACAGCTACCGATAGACACTGTCTTTTCTCTCTCTCTCTCTCTCTCTCTCTGATGTCAAACCAAACCAATTATTTGAAGGACACAATGGCAGGAATTGAGGTGGAAATGAATGTGAAGAAAATTAATTAAATTTAACAGGGAAAGATAACAGTGAGAAAGAATGAAAGGGGTTACCAAGGATGAAAGGTAAAGCTCTTATGCCTCCTCGTCGATGTCGCTTGCTCTTCTTATTGTTCACTTCCTCTTCTGTCTCGGCGATCTCGCCATTGCCTCCAATGCTCTTCTCTGCTTCCATATCCTATATCTTCTACATACCGATATTGTCTATGCTTATATATACCATACCTTCCATTTCTTATTCTATGTACAACAATGTTCAATTGTTTTATGCGTCTTTATAGTTTAAGTTTTTAACATGATCTTTATATTCGGAAAAGGAAAAAAACTTATGTAAATTCTTAATTATATTCACAATCGTTAATTATTTTTCACTAAATTTTAAAAAATTACTTAAAATGTAAATAAATTATAAGAATTCATTTAGTATAACACCATTGACTAGGTTTTTATATTTTTAAAAATTTTGAAATAAATTTGTATAATTTAGTAAAACATAATGCTCATCCAAATGTGGGCCCGCCCTATTTAATATATTAAGAAAATAATAAATATAGATAGAAATTTTTAAGTTGAAAAAAGTACTAAAACTATAAAGAGTTCCATAATAATTGTACATGTATAAATATAAATATAAACATAAATATATATTAAAAAGATAATTGTACACGTCTCTCTAATATTCTCGAGACGAAAAAATTATGACACTCAAGATATCGAAATTCAAAACTACTGTGTTAGCACATGCAATACGTTGCTTTTCTTTTGTTTATATTAGCATTAAAAAAGTTGTGGGTTGTTTAGAAGTTGAAACCACACTCAACTTATACAAGTTATAGGAAAGTTTAAATCCAATAATACCTTCCACTCTATTTTTCTCTGTGGAACCTTAATTAAACCTTCTTCGGTGCCATTTAGTAATGAACCCCTGTTCTAACAAATAATGCAAATATAGTGTTTGCATTATTTAGGAAAAATTACGAAAACTTTGAGTTTTGTTGAACAATCAAAGAAACAGGTGCGATAAATATAAGGAAAATAAAAGCATAAAAAAATAGAAACTTCCATAATATTTGTTCATATGAGACTGAGAATAAAGAGTTATATTTTTCACACTAAACATCTAAAATCTTTCATAATTAAGTCATCCTAAATCACACTTTATAAAATAACTATAATCATCTAGCTACATGTCACTTACATTCAATGTCATTACACAAGATAATAAAACTTAATGTAGGTAAAGTATTAAGGAAACTAATTTGTAAGTTCACCACCCTTTGATCCTCAAGCACACTCAATTGATATTCTACATTAGACTCATAATCTTTGACTTCGTTAGAGTGATACTAAATTAGTTAATAACTTGGGTGTAACGTGAAGCATGACTTGTCAATATTTATCCCTTTAGCAGATCACTGTCGTCAATTTTACATGTGATATTATTTTAATAAGAACTTTTTTTATAAGAGGAAATTTATATTTTTTGCTTTTCTAAGTTAGCAATTAGACGTTTTACTTTCCATCTATAGTAAGAATATTTTTAAATACAAGTGAAATATAAATAATAAAAATGTTTTATTAATAATGAAAATTAAGTTAAAATATAAAACTATATGTATTTAAAACCTCTTTAATTTAAAACAATTAAAAATTAGTTTAATTAAAAAATATTTTATTGATAATTTTCATATATTCCTTTAATTGCTTAAAGAAAATAATGATATTAAAAATGTTTTGGAATGAAATATAATATATTATTTGATTGAATATAAAAATTTAGAAAACATATATCATAAAATAAGAAATTTTTGTAATTATGTAAGAATCGGAGTAGGTATAAAAGTCGAATTTATTTTATATGTGTGCGCATAATAATTTTCACAAATATCATTTGTTTTACGTGAAATAAGGCCGAAGTGATTAATTATTAAAAATTGACTCTTCTTAATGAATAATTAAAAAAAAGACGAAAATAAAAATGAGAAGCAAAAAATTAAAAGACAAGAAAAATTTTTGGTTAGTGAATAATGTTAATTATGATGACGTCCTCACTTACGCCATATTGGAAGTTAATCAGAATCAATACTAAGCTGTGTTGCAAGGGTTCAAAGAAGTTCGAATCTAATCAAACCTTCCCACATGAGACAGATTATTTGCAGTAATTATATATTAAATCCTCAAAGCATAGACCAAGTTCATAGTGCCTTCTCTCTGCATAGTGTTGTCCGTGACACTTTAATTATTGCATAATATAATTTATTACTCGTGATTTTTTATCTATATATAGATTTCAACATAAGATTGGATAACTCAAGCCCAAAAGATTGTTGGATACGTGCTGTCCTCTATTATTTTTTCTTATTTTTAATTATTATTATTATTATTTTATTGGATTAAATGTGTTAAATATGCTTGGTGTCTTTCCGAATATATATACTTTCTCCATTATGTACCTTCTTTAGCGATATGTTTTAGTCCTAAGATTAGTTCTCGGGTCTTAACATGAAACAAAACGTAATTATATATTCATTAAATTCATATATACACATGAATCGCTTAATTTTATGATATTCTATTCAATATTTCTTTTATTATTTTTATATAGTTGTAATTTCGCATATTGTAAATATAATTGTACAAAATGTTTTAAACGGTCAACCACGTTTGATTATTAGAAAGAGTCTTTCGTATTTTTATTTGGCCATGATTAGACGGGTCAAGTCAGACAGTTTCGGGTGTAGTTAACCTAAAAATAGCCCAAATTGATCTTTGGATTATTGGAACTATAATCGTCTGCTTAAAAATTCGGGTTCAATAGGTTATGAATTATGCGGGTTGCGGGTTGAGCAGGTCGAAGAATCAGTCTAATGACCCACCTCTGTTCTTCTCACTTCTTCTATTTTTTCTTCCTTGCAAATGAAAAAACCAACACAATCTCAAAGGCAAATCCTATGCCCAACCAAAACCAACAGTAGCAAACCTTAAGAGTTCCAAAACGACACCGTTGTAAGATGTTTCTAAAAGAATATTTTCCTCAATTGATCTCATTCACTGACTTGGAATAAATACAATATACAAGTCGTAATCTTAGGAAACTAATTAGGTAACTAATAATATAAGGCATATATTTAGAAAACTAATTATAAACTAAATATATGCTTACCTAAAATAAAATAACAAAATATATTTACATATATCTTAACACACCCCGCAGTCAAAGCAGGAAGACGACGGACACTGAGACTGTCCCTAAAATCATCAAACAACACCTGCGGAAGTCCCTTAGTAAAGATGTTCGCAATCTGATATCGTGAAGGCACATGAAGAACTCGAACCTGACCACGTGCAACCTTTTCCCGTACGAAATGTATGTCCATCTCAATATATTTGGTACGTCGATGTTGCATCGGGTTTCCCGACAAATAGATACCACTAATATTGTCACAATACACAATAGTAGCCTTGGTAACTAGACAATGCAATTCCAATAACAAATTTCGAAGCCAACACGACTCAGAGACCACATTAGCAACACCCCTATACTCGGCCTCTGCACTAGACCGAGAGAGTGTAGATTGACGCTTAGAGGACCATGACACCAAGTTGTCACCCAAAAACACACAGTAACCCGAGGTAGAACGTCTCGTATTAGGGCACCCACCCCAATCAGCATCAGTATAAGAAACAAGAGACGAGGTCGAAGATGAATTGAGATGAAGACCAAGATCAAGTGTACCTTGTAAATACTGGATAACGCGTTTGAGAGCTTGCATATGGTCCACCCTCGGATCGTGCATATATAAGCACACCTGTTGCACCGCATAAGAGATATCCTGCCTGGTGAAAGTGAGATATTGTAGAGCCCCAGTAAGGCTCCTATAAAGAGTGGGATCCTCATAAGGTGCGCTAGAAGTAGTACCCACCTTAGCGTTGGTGTTAACCAGTGTTGGAGACGACATGCAAGAAGACATACCGGCTCGGTCAATAATTTCTTCGGCATATTTGCGTTGTGAAAGGAACATACCACCCTTATGCCAGGTCACTGCAATGCCAAGAAAATAGTTCAAAGGACCAAGATCCTTTATAGCAAATTCTGAGCTCAGAAGGTTCATAATAGATAATCGGAGAGCATGAGAAGAGGCAGTAAGTATAATGTCATCAACATAGAGAAAAATGTAAGCCATGTGTGAACCCTTTCGATAAATAAATAATGAGTGGTCACATTTGCTATTTGAAAAACCAAGAGACAAGACATAATCAGCAAACCGCTTATACCAAGAACGGGGTGCTTGTTTAAGCCCATATAATGACTTACGCAAACGACACACATAATCCAGATGAGTATGGTCACGATACCCCAATGGTTGATGCATATAAACTGTTTCTTATAGCTCACCATGAAGAAAAGCATTTTTGACATACAACTGATGAATGGGCCATGCCTTTGAAAGAGAAATAGAAAGAACGGTGCGAATTGTAGCCGGTTTCACTACCAAGCTAAAAGTTTCTCCACAATCAATGCCAACCTGCTGAGTTTTTCCATTACCTACAAGACGGGCTTTATGCCTCTCAAACACACCGTTAGATTTCTCTTTATGAGTAAAAAGCCACATAGATTAGGTGGATAGGGCACCAACTCCCACATCTTATTTGTAATAAGAGCATCATATTCATCATCCATGGCCATTTTCCAATTGGGATCACGAAGTGCTGCAACTGGGTTACGAGGTAATGGAGACCGAGTAACTGAAGTAGCTAAGCCATATTCATCATCATATTTCTTGTTTGGCTTAAAAATGCCCATTTGGCTCCTTGTGACCATACGGGGCGGTTGGATGGGAATATGAGGGGAAGGTACAGTTTGGTCTGCTGGTGTGGAGATAGGAGAAGAGGATGGGCTAAGGGAAGGAGAGGCGGGTGGTCTTGAAGGGAAGTATGGGCTGGCGATGTCTGGGCTCACGGGATCTGGGCCAGTAGGGGGTGGGTTTGTGTTTTCGGTTGGTCCATGTGAGGAGCAGAAACATTGGGAGATTGATTGTGAAGGTGATGCATTGTTTAGGTACTCATATCATCACACAAGAACTCATAAGCAGTAGAAGAAAGGGAATACAATTTCTGAAATGGGAAAACATGCTCATCAAATAAGACGTGACGACAAATTATAATTTTACTAGAAGATAAATCATAACACTTGTAGCCACGATAATGCGAAGAGTAACCCAAAAACACATACGGGGTAAATCGAGGTTGTAATTTATTGATTGTGGTGGATGGAAATCGAGGATAACAGAGACACCCAAACACCCTAATGTGAGAATATGAGGGATCCCGTTGGTATAGAATTTGAAGAGGAGAAGTGTTTCCCAAAACCTTACTTGGAAGTATATTAAGAAGATATGTAGCCATTTGTAATGCATGATGCCAAAAGGAAGAAGGAAGAGAGGCATGAGCAAGAAGAGTACGAGACATATTATTGATAGTTCAAATTTTCCGTTTGGCTTTCCCATTTTGAGGTGAGGTATGGGGGCAAGAAAGATGGAAAGACATACCATTAATTTTACACAAGTCCCAAAAAGGTCCATTGTCAAACTCCTTCCCATTATCACATTGGAAATTTTTGATATAACGTTCAAATTGAGTGAGAATGTGGGCTCGAAAAACTAAGAATTTCTCAAATACATCACACTTTTTAGTCAACGGAAAAGTCCACAAATAATTAGAATAATCACCCAAAAATAAAACATAATATCGATGTCCCATTGAACTCAAAATAGGAGATGTCCAAATATCACTATGAATAATATCGAAAGGCATAGACGTACTCGTAGAAGAGGAAACAAATGGCAACTTAATATATTTTTCAAAAACACAAGATTGACAAAGACTAGAATTAGAAAGACGATTACAAGCAATGCTTTTATTTTTCTTAAGAACATCTAAAATAGGAGCACCCGGATGCCAACTGATCATGCCAAAGCTTAGGAGAAATGGCGGCAAAAATTGAAGGAAGAGTTTGAGTGTTGATAGGAGTAGTAAGAGGGTAAAGATCACTCTAGCTATCACATCTCATTATTGGCATCCCCGTCTGAAAATCCTTCACAGAAAAACTAAAAGGATCAAATTCCACGATCATAGAGTTATCAGTAGTGAATTTTCTAACCGAAATAAGATTTTTGATAATTTTGGGAGCATGTAGAACATTTGTAAGAGATAGGGGAGGATTAGGGGAAGGCAAGCAAGTATGACCATAGCCATGAATCGGGATAGTATGACCACTACCAACAATAATGCCATGATGATTGCTCAAATTAAAATAAGACAAGAAATTACCATTGGAAGATGTCATATAAGAGGTAGCTCTGGTGTCTATGTACCATGATGGATCAGGGGGACTCAGAGACATAGTATGCATCGCCACTTTAATATTTGTAGGAACAGAAGAAGTGGACTGCCCATTCTGAGAGGCCATGTAAGCCTGTTATGATCGTGACCCAAGAACGCCAGGCTGTTGTTTCTGTCTCTGTGGTGCTGGACCCCGTGCTCACCCCTGGTTTGGATATGGGCATGGAGGAGCCCATTGAGGCATCCAACCCCAAGATGGGTAATTCGGCCAAGGTGAAGACCCCCACTGTGGCTGCTGTTGTGGACTCCCACCAGACTGCTGCGGACTACCACTGCCGTCCCCTGCACGGCCAGATTTTCCACCGTCGAACCCACGACCACCGGCACCGGATTTTTTTCCAGAATTCTTGCGATATCCAGACGGTTTCCCACGGTGCTGCTGGTGGTGTAGCTAGTCTGAATGTGAGGAATTTGAGTCGTAAACGGATTGGGAGGCAGCCACCATTGCTGACTCCGAGCCCGTGGCGGCCTCCTTTGCCAATATGGCTTCCTCAAGTGTGAGCATCGATCGAGCCTGATAAAATTGAGGTAGGGGATCACTCTGCCGAATTAACGTCCCAAAACCACGATATGCACTTGTGAGACCCGAAACAAGTTGAATGACGAGGCAGCTCTCCGACACCGGTGCTCCAACATTTTTCAACTGATCAGCAAGGGACTTGAGGCGTTGACAATATGCTGAAGCATTCGAAAAATTCTCCATCTTAGTATTGGAGAATTCGGCCTCAAGAGTTACCGCACGGGAGTGTTTGTTGTCTTGGAAAATATCTCTCAACCTATTCCAAGCATCTATGGCCTTGGCATCGAGTTCAATAATTGTATGCAGTAGGTCATTGGAGATGGTTGCATAAAGCCAAGAAAGAACCGTAGCATCAAGAGTCAACCATAATTCCTTTTCATCCTCAGTCACAGGTACCTTCTCGTTGCCATTGTCAGGAGGAATAATGTGATGAAGGACCTTATGAGAACTTGTAGTAATTTTAAAAAGTTTCGCCCATGTAGAGTATTGGACATTCTCCAGTTCAAGAGTGATGGAGATATGGTTCCGTATATTGGAAACCGCAAGAGCCGGATGGAAAGAACTCTTGTTGTCCGTCATGACGGTGAGAAGAAGAAATAAGATAGATGAAGGGAAATGAAGGAGAAGAAGCGTAATTTCCCTAGAAATCTGATACCATAAAAGAATATTTTCCTCAATTGATCTCATTCACTGATTTGGAATAAATACAATGTACAACCCGTAATCTTAGGAAACTAATTAGGTAACTAATAATATAAGGCATATATTTAGGAAACTAATTATAAACTAAATATATGCTTACCTAAAATACAATAACAAAATATATTTACATATATCTTAACAGTTTCAATTGGTTTTGTTTCTCATCTTCTTTCTCTCTCCACCGCAACTCTCTCTCTCTCTCTCTAAACCAAGACGGTCTCTTTCTCCTCAAAGCCCGGCGCCAACTCTCTAACCCCAACAATCAAACTCATCAACGCCTCCCTCTCTGACTCCTTTCCCGCAGCCTTCTGTCGCTTTCTCTCTCTCTCTCTCGTCTCTTATTCTCTCTTACAACCTCATCAACTCCACCCTTTCCAACAGTGTTGTCGCCGGCTACCGGAACCTCCTCGAACTCGACCTTTCTCAATCCCTTCATCCGATTCCAACCACTTCTACTCTCATAACCTCGTTTTTAATAATCTGCGTTTCCCCTAAATAAACTAATCTGACCCTGTTCATGTTCTGGGCTTTCAGTTAAGCCAGTTTCAGATGAGCTTAGCATTTTTGGACAGGCCTAGCCATGACTAACATGATTTTAACTTTTAGAGAGGAAAAATACCTACTCTAACTAATATTTAATATATTACTCTTGGTAAGATTTTATGTGCAAAATGAAATCACCATAATCAGGTCTCTTTTGATTATGAAATTGTTTGGGGTAAGGAAAATTTTCTAAAGTTATAAAATCTTGTTGAAGGATTTACTTTTTAAGAAGTTTTAGAGGGTTTAGAGAAGAGCCTTCACACGATGAAAATTGCAAGAATCATAAAAAAAGCCTCAAGAAAGAAACTACATTTAAGCCCCTGACACTCAAAACGGCTCAAAAAATAGGACTAGTAAAAAATTATTCTAAGTCTATAAGACTGAAAGCCTTTTCGAGGAGTTTCTAAAGGTTTTCTAGTCCCTTGACTAATAATAACTAAAACGGGTCAAAAAATTAGATTGACAAGAAGATTATTCTAAGTCCATAAGACTGAAGATCTTTCGAGGAGTTTTTGAGGGTCTTAAAGTCCTTAACAACAAAACAGCTCGAAAAACAGAAAGTGGTCAAAAGACATTCTAGGTTCACAAATCTGTTTGAGTTCCATATTTCCTCCAGAATTGCTCAAAAAATAGGAAAGAGCAGAGAAAATATTCTAAGGACACGAGACTAAAAAGAGCTCACTATTTCCTTAAAATTAGTCAAAAAAATAGAAATCGAGGGAGAAATTATTCTAAGTTCATAATGCTAAATGAGTTTTTTAGATTTTTCTCAGAACTGCTTGAAAAAGAGAAAACAAAAAGAAAAGATTATAAGCTCATAAAAGTCATGATAGGACTCAAAAGTTATCACAAGACTCAGAAGCAATTACCAAAGGTTACCAACAGTTACTACCAGACGAAGGTTCAACAACATGAAGAAAGATCGTGGGCGATAGCAATTATGGAAAGAGCTGCAACCGACAGCACGATCATAAGCAATCGTGGATAATGGGCAGTAGCGATTGAAGACAAGCATGTATGGAAGACAATTGATGAGAATGCCCACAAAAGAAGGAGAACGGTGGTGGTCCTCTTGCCTATAAATACTCCAAAACTGCATTTTACAGAGGACAACTTTTTGCACCTAGACACTGCACCTAAAATCTCTGCACGCTGAAACCCTGCCCCACACCGAACGTTAGCTCCCTGGAGTCACACAGTTGCTGTTGTTCGTTGTTGCTAAAGAATCGTAAGTTTACATTCCTGCACATTTACATTATTGTTCTTTATATTTCTAGTTTGTTTTATGTCTTTACTCATGAAATCTCCTTCTTGTATACATTGTAAGCATTGGCGTTCAATTTGATATGCGTTTCTATTTTATAATTTTACTATTCTTGCTAAAATTGTTTATTTTATGATGTCAATTTTATTATTAAGTTAACAATACACTTAAAAGAATCCAAGAGAACCTAAATCCAATCTCCAAATTATTCTTGGATTATTTATTTACAAACTATCATTTTTCATCTTAAACAAAAATATATTGTATGAAGAAGTGATAAGCTCTTTTTCCTTTGAGTTTATTGGAGTGTGTATAATTTGTTAGTGCTAGTGTATTTTGTGTTGATTTTCACTCAATTTCTCCTATTGTCTTATTTTAAAAAAAAAGGTCATAGAAGGTGAAAATCGAAAAAATGAGAAGTATGAAAAGAAAAAACCAAAAAATATAATAAAAAATTGCATTATTTACATTAAAAAAATTCTCATAGCCTGATATGATTTCTTTAAATAATAGAAAGTTACGCCTAAAATGCAAGATAAAATTGAACATTATTAATTAAATAAGTTAAGGGTATAATTTTGACGTAATGCATAAATATTTTAGACTTACAAACATGTATTCTTATATTCTTTAATAAAATATGACATTTTATATATTTATTAACATAATTGAATTTTAAAAATAAAATATTACCACAAAAGGGAATAAGGATGTTTAAAAGAAATTACTTGAACTTATAAAAATAACAATTTTTAAACATATTTTAATAATTTTTTTATATAATTTATTAAAATAAATACTGAATTAAAATGTTTACTTAGTCATATTAAATAGGGAAAATTGTTTGTTTTTTTTTACACAAAAACACATCTAATCCAAGTATCATTTTATCCGCAAAGTACAGCAAAGTTCATAGTAACATAATTTATCATTAATCATTCTCATGTTCAGTTTTATCTGTCTTGTGATCATAATGTTTGCCCAAGGAGGGGTACTATGAAGTGTAGCAAGTGTGATCCTCACATATCCACAACGGATAAGAAGCAGAGTGACTCAGATTCTAAGATCAACCTTGAACCTTAAACCTTGTCCCTTCATACATTTCACGAATATTAAGGTTTGCTGTCTGAAATGGCAACCTCGCTATTCACCTCCTTACTCCCAATCACAGTATCAACACCATCATGTGCTTTAAGAGCCTCAGCTTCTGAATCATATCACTGCCAACACACCCCCAGAAGGCAATTCTTGAAGGGTATTGCATTGCAGGCTCTTCCTCTTGTTGTTCTTAGAGAGCCACCTCCTTCACAAGCTAGAGAAGTTGAGGTTGGTTCGTTCCTCCCACCTTCACCTTCAGACCCATCTTTTGTTCTCTTCTCAGCTTCTCCCAAGGACACTCCTGCCCTTCGAGCAGGTATGTTCAATTTTCTTCTTTACCATAATTGCACTTAAATATTGCTCCTTTTGATGCTGTTTTCATTCCCCCAAAGATGGTGCTTTATCTTGTTCATTCTTTGCATGTGCTTACATTCATGGATTTAAACTAAAGAGGGGAAGAGATTAGTGCTTGTATGGTAGGACGAATGATGATTATGATATTCACAAGAAACTCAATAATTTGATAGGCCTGAGGAAACTATTACTTTGATGTCTTCCTGCAAACAAATTGGTGCATTAATTGATAAATGGGATCTAGAAACTGATGATTTGATTTATTGGATACTTCTCAATTGCCTAATTAGAAATTATAGCTGTCAATTTGGAAGATTTATGCCTCTCAAAAGCTCTCATTATTGTTATTAGCACCAAGGTAAAATTCAATTTTGTAAATTTAAATCTGGGGTTAATGTACAATCTGCATCCTAAAGTGTACGTCTATACAATTTGGTCCCCAAGGTTTTTTTTGGAGTTAATTTTTGGGGAGAAGGGGAGGCAAGGAGAAGACTTATTTAATAATAATCCTTGTTTGAGAATTGTTAGATGAGAGGGACTGAGGAAGAAGTTTTATAAACCCTCCAGAACTCTCCTAATCACATAAGTTCCCTCAATTTGGAGATTTTTCATTAACTCTCCTTCCTCCTCCCTTCTCCTTTCCTCCCTTATCCTTCAAACCCTTTCCCTCTCCCTCCAAACTCCCAAACATAGCCTAAAAGTATTAACTTTCTAACAAGTACCAAGTTGTCGACTTATAAACAATTCATCCCTCAAAATATTAATTTGTATGGAAGAAAATTTCAGGACCAAAGCAGTATATATAATTTACCACTTTCAGGGACTAAATTGTATATTAACACTTAACTCAATCACTTGCACTGACTCTTATTTTATAGTCAACAGTGGTTATCAGTTTATCACCATGCATCTACATTGCACCATTTTCAGCAGATGTTCAGTGTATTCAGCTTCTGATGAATTACCATGATATTTTTATATCCTTTATATGCTTTATATATATATATGCTTTACATATATGTATGTATGTATGTATATATATATATATATATATATATATATATATATATATATATATCCAAACTTAATTGTAATCAAGAGATCAAACCATATCTACTTAGGAATTTTATGCTGTTTACTGTTGTTCTTTGCAATTGATACTCTAAATTTAGTTCTTTGTAGGAAATGTGCAGCCATACAAGTTTATTCTCCCCCCAACTTGGAAACAGGCTCGTGTAGCAAACATATTATCAGGAAATTACTGCCAGCCAAAATGTGCAGAGCCGTGGGTGGAGGTTAAATTTGAAGATGAGAAGCAGGGAAAAGTCCAGGTTGTGGCATCACCTTTGATACGCCTTACCAACAAACCAAATGCAACAATTGAGGAAATTGGAACTCCAGAAAAAGTGATTGCTTCCCTTGGGCCATTTGTCACTGGAAACACATATGATCCAGATGAGCTCCTTGAGACTTCAATTGAAAAGCTTGGTGATCAGACGGTATATTTTCTCTCCATTGCCTATGTTGTCTCAAAATTTATGTTTTTCTTTTGCTTTTACCTAATTGAGTATGAAGAAGCTGGATAATTTCATAGTCTTTTACCTTTTTGAACATTGCCACAAGATCAATAATATGACTTGAGAGTTGCTGTCTTGCTAGCATAAGGGAACAAGAATGTTCGAGTTAAAAGATTTTTCTGAAATGTGCAATGTAGAGGATAATTATACACACATATGCAAAAGTTGCAATGAGAAATTTCAGAAAACTAAGAGTATGAAATCTCTGGAGGATGGGGCATTGTTAGTGTTTTTGTCTCTAGGCTTTGTATCAGAGCATTTGTCAATAATGAGTTTTTCTTGTGTTGCAATATGGTTCTTATAAGTTATATCAGTTCTATCCACATCTCTCTATTCTTAACTAAGAAACCTATAGAATTCCATATTACCTATTTAAAAGATTCCAATTTGAAAAAAAAAAATTCTTGTATTCTCATTGTACTAATCATTTCAATAATCAACTTCTCCCATAATGATATATATGCTCCCTAGTATTGTCACAATATCAGCCAATTCCATTCTTTTAACTGAATAAGAATTTACCAATAAATAAAACCTGGTGAATCAATATTCCATCTCCAAGGAAAACCATTTTGATCCCGTATTAGAAAAATTCCTAATTCTCCCTTAGGAGCCTCAACTCTTACATAATGTTGTTATGTTGTTAGCAATTATTAGTGACTAACATTGCTGAAATGGTGTCTGCAGTACTACAAATATGTGCTTGAAACTCCATACGCTCTAACGGGCTCTCACAATCTTGCAAAAGCAACAGCAAAGGGAAACACTGTTGTTTTATTTGTGGTTAGTGCCAATGACAAACAGTGGCAAGCTTCTGAGAAGACTCTAAAGACCATGCTTGATTCCTTTCAAATTTAGCTTTCTGTCAAAGGTAAATAAGGGTACTTTACCTTAAGTTTATTTCCTTCTAGTTTTGTCCCATTTCAAATTTTTGTTCAGAGGTTAAAATCATATTTTATATGTTTTAACTTTAAACAGTCTTGCCTTTTTCTTCTTTGTATATATCTGATTATGTAAATGACTTATGTTTTGATTGTATTTGTCTTAACTTATTTTATATTTCTAACCAAAAACTAAAAAAAAAAGGTAAAACAAGTGGAAGAAAATAAAAATGTTCAGTAGCTAATTCATTAACTTTATTTGCGTTTATCTTATATTTATTTGTCACGTCTCCTTCCAACGTGTTGACACCATAACTTTGGCTACATGGTTTTCATTTTTTCTAATATCAATTGTCTCAATGTCTTTTTGTTGTATAAGCCGTGATAGGCATGATATACAATCCTTATATTATAATCTATTCAGATTGTAGTTGATCTGACAGTTAGACTTCAGTGAGACTTGTTCCATTCCAACAGGCTTTATGCAACCTTTCATTGAGCATGTAAATTCAACCAAACAAGGCAGGTTGCTGTTGATGATATTATATATATTCAAGTCACACAAATTGTGCCAAACATGAGCAATATGTTAATACTCCCCTAAATGTAAGGCATAATAATACGGAAATGATTCTCTAATATGGTGCTTTTTAGTGATGTGAAAATTTGTCAAAAGATTCATTATCACAATGCAACTATACGTGGGTTGCAGCTAGGCCTATTTCTGTAATTGGTGAGTGATTTGCGTAGTCATGATGTATATCCAATGCAACCCGTTTGTTGTCAAACTGAAAGAGTGAAAGCTCTTATATGTGTGTTTAACTTGGCATTAATTTTACTCAACCGCGAATTCATTTTAATGCTCAAGTTATAGCTTGTACATTGAAAAGTGGTTTAATGTAACTTTGTTAGTTTTTCAAACTCATGCTAAATTAATGTTGCATTTGTCATTAAATGAGAAACGTGCCTAATAAGGCAACGTGTGAAGGTATTTGAATATACCGTAATTTTCAAGACGTATAGTTTTACGATGGTATTTACTATTTATAAATGAAACCTATCACATTAAAGTCAAAGTTTCTACTAACCCATTGATCTACTAAAACTTGGTATTATTTCTTAGAAGAATCTTTTCAAGAGAGGATATAACAACTAAAGATTAAAGAATGACAAGACTAAGTCAATCGTTGAATGACGAGCTCCCAACTCTCTTAAAAGGTGTACGAAGTATGAAATCATAGGATACCCCATTGAATGCCTCTGGAAATAGTTGTAGATCTCCCAGACTCATTTGATGAGCCTAATGTTTTAAGAAATAAAATAAGTATGGAATAAAATGTGTTTATTGTTACTTTTAAATATTTATTGTCACTCTTATTTAAATTAAAATTGTCTAAAATATTTTTTAGTCTTATTAATAATAAAAATATTTTTAAGTTAAAATTTCTTAAGAGTAAAAGTAGACACTTTCTTGAACAAAATGTACAAATATTAATACATTAACAAATATTTTTTTTTAATGAAACTCAATCTCACTTAGTGAGATAAGACTTGGTTGTTATTTTTTTTATATAATAAAATTATTTTAATAACAATAATATTAATTGTTGACAAAATTATACATAAAAAATTCTTCAAAGTGAGTTGTCATTACGGTGAATAAGAATTCACTCTTAAATTTTAATGAGTTAAAAATATGGATTATTCATCTTAATTTAGATTAGCAAACGATTAGTTTTCTTTTCTCGGCTCCTTTTTAACGGAAAGTAATTTTATGGTAGAATAATTTTTTTTATGAAACAATGTTTAAGCCATTAGTGGACTCAGTGAGGAATTTGGGTAAATCTTCAAAAGTTCATGTCCCAAAAAGGTTGTTAAATGTTGTTTTAGTGAAAATAATTGTAAGAGGAAGTTATGCCTTTTATCATTTTTCAATGAGTCATAATAATTGATGAATAAAATTACTTTCTCTGTTCTTTTTCCTTTAACACTAACAAGTTTTTTTCATTTTTCATTATCATTTTGTAAAATTAATAAATAATTAATATTTTACAATAATTAATATTTATTTGGTATAAGATAATAAATGAGTGAAATAATTAATATAATAGTTAAAAAAATATAATAGGAGGTCAAATAATAAATTTTTATGAATTTAAAATGTCCATTATTTTTTTTTTTAATTCCTATGCAAAATTTTAAATGTAAAAAAAAAAAAACGAAAGTAATATATTTACTGATACACAAAATAAAGCAATAATGCAAGTATTAGTTACCACTTTCTTTGAACCTTCTCTTCTTTTTATTTTATTTTTTCTTAATCCTTTAATACCTTCTACTAAAATTTGAGCCTAAATAATCGAATTAACTCCAACAAACGGTTATTTTCTCTTTTCACTAATAATACTCGAATAGGAGTAGGAGACCTTAAAATAATCATGTAAACATGCTTGATCTCAACTAAATTAATTTCTCACAAATTAATCAATTTAGTACCCGCACTGATGCATGTTTACTTTTTCAAAACAGAAATGACTGCAAAACAAAAATTACTTTTGCACTTGACATTGGCTAACTGAAAAGAATATAACAAATCCTACTAAGGCACTAAAACAGTTTTAATATGACAATTTTGTCAACATCCTATTTAAATATTCAAAAATAATAAATTTTTATTAAAAAATATTTACTACATTAACGATAAAAAATAATAATAATTTGTTTATTCCAATAAAAGTTTACTAATGCTTGGTTTCTTAAACTCGATCCAAAAAATTGAAATTAACTTTATTCCAAAACCAAGTTTACAAGCGTGGTCTCAAACACACATTTCCACTATAAATTCAATAATTCATGAAAAGGGACCCGCTTATAAAAACTCTCAAGATGAGCATAATATTAATTTTCTGAGAAAGGTTGCAAGTCGGTACACGACATAGGTCAACCCCATTCAAGGCCAACTTCTAAATTCTCAGTACACTTTTACGAGGTACTTGGAACATAAAGCCTGCTACTTTAAATATGATATGTACAAAACTGGAGCTGGGTTTCCTTCCTTCCCAGTCCCCATCTTTTGTTACAGAAGCTAAAACTCAGGTTAGATGGGTGTATAACGGAGAAAGTATGTATTGTCATACATAAGCAGTCACCAGATGGGGAGAAACACGAGGAAGACCACATGAGTAAGTTACATACTTGACACTGTCCATAAGCACCACCACAAAGATCCGAGAGAGTGACTTTGGGGTCACCACGCCATCAACATCACCATCTCCAGCCTCTTTGGGATCAACAAGCACCGAAACCACCGTAGAAGATTTATTACCATGGAGGTGATCTTTATGCGAATTTCTTACATGTTCTTCAGTTATGTTCAGACTGGATCCAGCAAATGGATCTGGAAGACCATGGAGGATTCTTCTATTCCTGGTCTTGTTGCCTGAGGTAGCATTCCGACGGTTCTCGGTAGAAATATTGGCTACTGATGTTGCAGGAACTATAGCACCAGGAGTTGGAGAAACATCAAACTGGAAAACTTCAGTGCACATGCCAGAACTTAACATGGGCCCTGCATCAGGGAATCAGAAAATTCAGTATATTCTCAACAGTTAATAGAGGTCAAAATGGGCAAACAGCTTCTTTGTCAACGCACTGCTTAAATAAGTAAAGGACTTGGTTCAAGCATGATTGAGAGGCTGACAACATGAAGACACTGTTTCAGCCCTTACATTCAGCAGACACATAGATGAAGAGATAGGTGTATATCATGGCCTAAGAAAGGCTATTCTATAGAGACAAAAATGAAACGATGAACAAAAAATGCAGAAATGTGAGGGACAATTCTTTTAAACGAAGCACTAATAAAACAAAGCCATAAAAATTGGTTTGAGAATCCCAAGGAGTCAAAGTAGTCCATCTAACCAGGTTTGGAAGAACTCTGAAAATAAGTAAGAAAACTTGTTGCAAAATTATTGAAGTATTAACAAGACACAAAATTTCAAATACCAAAAAGCATGATGATTTTTTATCAAGGGAAACCAAAGAGCAAACACTAAACATATTAGCTTAGATAGCATCTTCAAAACTTGATTATCACCAAAATTGAAAAGCCTTCATCCACAAAAAGTGCTACAAAATGGGAACTTAAGATTAAGCAGTTCAAGAAAACATAACATAAGTCAGCTGAAGAGAATGTATCCTTCCTAACTTATATAAAGCAAAATTCAGAAGGCAAGACAAATTAACTGATAATCACCTGCAAGACCTTCCCGAAACCACTGTTGCATTTTTCCATCAGTCGCAGAGGACTTCATGTGGTCCTTCAAAGCTTTGGTTGAACCAGAGCCGAGAGCCTTCCTCTGTTCAGGAGAAACCCTATACACGTGTGGATGTTGACCTCTATTTCTTCCAACTTGAGGAATAGCCAATGCAGAATCCCAATCAGTAGGAATGGCCAAACCAGTTTCTCTCTTGTCCTTCTTTGCCTCAGCAGTTTGAGAAGCCATTGCTTTCTCACTGGCCATAATAGAATGGATTATCAAGTTTCCATCAATCTTCACCAGCTTATCATTCCTAGGAACATACAAAGAAGCAACCAGAGGCTCACTGGCATTGCCCCGATGAACAAAACTATTTGGGTCTTGCCATTCATGCGTTTCTTCTCCCAATTTCCGGCCCCTCTCATAATTAATTCTATCAGAAACACCAAACCCTCCACTAGAAAATCCTACTTCCTCGATTCTTTCAGATCCATTTATATGACCACCATTCACAGGCCAAACCTTACCTCCACCCTGACCATACAACCTATCGCTAACATAGCTATACCCACTAGGAACATTGTTTACTAAACCTTCAAATTTAACATCTACCAGAGGAACAAGCCCACCAAAAAGCATGATAAAGAAAAACAAACCCAACAAACTAATACTGGCAACCTTCTTGGTTTTCACCTCAGTCTTTTTACCCTCATTCTTTTTACTCTTGGAAGCTGCAACTGGCTGCTGAGACTTCAACCTAGGAATGGGGACCAAAGGAACCTGAGAGCCTTGAGGCTTGACAACATAGGGAGCACAAGGCATCCAAGGATAAGGCATAGGCGCCATGGGAGGATGAGGGTACATCCCTGGCGCTGGAGGAGGAGGAGGACACATCACACCAGCACCTAATTGCTGTCTAAGCGTAGCATTCTCAGCCATGACAAACGATATCTTACTACTCAGATCAGTAATGGTGGAATGCATTGATCTTACCTTCTCCTCAAGCTCTTCCACATAATGCTTTTTCCTCTGCCTAGAAAGCTGTGCACTTTCCCTGTTCCTCATCAACCTGGCCTTCCTTTTCTCGTCCTCATCATCAATCGCATTCACACCAGATTGAGATTGTTCCTGGGTCTTGTTTTCCAAAGCCACAGAGGAGGACCTTCTGTACTTGGTAGTTCTATTCTCAGCACTTCCTTCACAACACTCTTTCTTCCTCTTCAGATCACAACCTTTAACACCAATTTCCTCCAATTTTATACTTTTATCCATAACTGCATGTCCATGGGAAGATGTTATGTCCCTCTCATAGCGGCCAGAATCAAGTGAGGGCGAGTTCATAGCTTCATATACACCAGACCCTCCGTTGCCTGAACCCTGAGACGAAACCGGTCCATCAGAAGACTCTTCCCGGTCGCTAGATTCCGACTCCGGCGAAGGAGAGCTAGAAACTTTAACATCAACTGAATTATGCGAGCCCTGTTTACCCGAATTATCAATGGAGACCGAGTCCAACGCTTGCGAATTGAAAAACCTAGAAACGCCGGAGCTTCGATCGCCAGAAACCGCAGATGTGCCGGAATCCAACGAATCGGAATTGGTAATGTGATAATCGAAATTTTTTGCAGGAGAATCGCCGGGATCGTCGATTGACGGCGAAATGGAAGCGCCGTTAGGGTTGCATGCATCGGGAAGAAGGAAATCATCGGCGTCGGAGGGGATGCAGATGCTGTCGAGATCATCGAAGGTGATCTCGAATTCTCCATTGTCGCCGAAATCAAAGCCGAATTCGAGATCTGAGGCGAAGGCTTCCGAGGGAAGCGCGTCGTTGTCGAACAGAGAGTCCATGCATGGGATGGGAAGGTTCTCGAACTCGGCGGAGAAGTCGTCGAATCCGAGATCAGAGGCCGGCGGCACCACCGGAGGTGGCGATTCGACGGCGTGCATTGACTCAGACATGTATGAGGGTTTTGGAGAATGCAGAAGAAAGGTTTCGACAAGGTTTTGGGAATTTTGGGGTTTCGTTCGCTATTTGAAGCAGTGCGCGTGGGTAGTTACTTTGTGCTCTGGTAACACGCGCGCGTGGGTGCACTGGTGCTAAGGAGCTCGCAGCTTACGAGTTACGACCTAGTTTTATTTCTTTTCTTTTTTAATAAGTAATTTTCATATTTATTTATTATTATGAAAAAGTATGTGGAAACTTCTCCGCGATTGCGAAGGGATAATGAGAAGTGGCAAACCAAATCCAGTGAAGCAAGAATTGCGTTTCCGCTACGTTCTGCAACTTTCAACTGCCGAAACGTGCGGTGTCAAATTATAAATGTATTTAAAATTTAAAAACCAAATTATTTTCCAAAAAACATTTAGGAGGCATTTCTGGACTTTTTTTTATTCATTCGAAGTTATTATTATTATTAAGGAAAAAAACTAATCAAACTACCACAAATGCTAATTAATATCATTTTTTCTCACAAAAAGTTGTAGCAGTTGTATTTTAATTTTAATAAAATTAATTTTAAATTATTAAATATAATTGCAATTGATTAAAATTAATTTTAATCATTTTTATTTAAAAAATAAGATTTTTTAACTTTAAATAGAAAAGACACTCAGTCTTTCCAAATAACAAAAACTAATCACTAAATCACTTAGAACTATAAATATCTATTAATTCAGATCTTCACACATCTATAATTTAAAATTATTAAAGTATACACCAATGTAGTTATTAATGACTTAATTAGTTTTTGAAAATGTTTAATGAGAAATCTTATTAAATGAGATGATACTTTTTATGTAAAAGAGAAATCAATAAATATTGATCAATAAATATTATCATAAATGTTAAATATTAAAACACACACATTAAAAAAAAGTCAATTGACTATTATAAATGATTATATGACTTCCAAATTTTTTAATTTTAACCATTCAACGTAGTTGTATAATTCAAATTTTATGTCTTCACTCTTATAAAGGAAAAACTATCACCCTAGATATAACTCCTATTTATTAAAATGAAGAAAATGGATTAAAATATAAAATTTAGAAAATTTTGATGAATTAAAGAATTAATACTCTTTACAGAACAAAGTGTCCCTGGGTTTTTTATTTTTATTTTTGCTAACTTTCAGTATTAATGTTAATTTTAGGTATTTGAAATGATAATTTTTAATAAAAATTATTAATTATATTTTTATACTTTTAATTAAAGAAATATTTTCACAAAAAATCTACTTTAAATATTTAATTAATTATAAAAATTATTGTTAATATTTAAAAAAATAGCTAGTTCGAGTATTTACTTTTTTTTTTCTCTTGCTTATTTGAAAAGATAATTGGACTTGCGATAACCACTTAATTTGTATACTATATATACTAAGTCAACTGATTGGGGGTCAAACGACTGGTCTGTCTCACGTTGGTTTGTCGAAAATTAGTTGAACATCTTAACAATTTAGAAGCTGTGATGGGATTTGAGGAGTTTTTAGATGTACGTGCACGGGTATTTTTTTAAATATGGCATTTTTATCATGAAAGTACCATAGAATATGGGTTCCTAATCAATGCTAGTATTTACATAGAATGGCGATTTTTGAAGAATGAGAAATTAATGCAAAGTAAAAATTTGATACTAACGACTTTTGGGGCAGAAAAATTTAATTTTTATATATTAAAAAATTAGGCTACTTTATTTTTATATGGTTTTTTTATTTTTAAAATACAAAAAATATAGAAATTTTTGCTATATCACATGAATATGGAGTTTTCATAAAAGTCGCCGATAATAATTTTTTTTATCTTATATATCAAATCACAATCAAAACTCACCAATGACAAGATTTAAAAATAGTAATAATTTATTCATGGCAAATATTACCATTAGTGACTTTTGGGAGTAAAATAATAAAAAAAATCGTCATTGGTGACTTTTAAATAATATTAATTAATCTAAAAAATTTAAAAGTCGTTATTGGCGATTTTTAAAATATTTGCCTATAAATACCGAGTTCTTCCTTTATTGACGTTGCAAGTGAGTAGATCTGAATTTTTAGATATAGAGAGAGGGATAGATCATTATAAAGGAAAAAAATGAGTGTACTCTTGTTGATATATTTTAATGGCAAGATTATTACAAACACTCGTAAAGGTGTGTTATTTAGGTGTGAAAAGTCAACATGTGTGTACATGAGAGATAATATGTTATTTGGTGAACTGTGTTATTGACTTACTCAAAATATTGAATTTGAGTTTCCAAAAGCAGTGAAAAGTATTGTTTATAGGTGTCCAATATCTATATTTGGCGGTTTCACGCAATATTATACAGTTCCAATAACAAACGATGCTGATGTTGTACAGATGTTTCAAATGCATTACCAATGTCATCCACCAACTCCTGCCATTGAATTATATGTTGTTTTCAAAGAAATTACAATTAATATTGATGAAGAAGATGAGGATGCATATGCAAGCATTGTCCCAAACAGAGAGGTAGAATGGATAAATGTCAACAATGAAAGTGGTGACTCTGAATATGAAGAATATGGAAGTGGTGAACTGAGTGAAGATGAAGATGTAGATGACGATGTTGATGACGAGGTCCAATTATCAAACACAGTGATTGGACAACATCCATTTAGGGAGCCACCTTTCATGCGTTCGTTAAATCTCAATGCTATGCATGCCTCTGAGTTTTCAAATTATGCAAATTTAGGTATGTGTTATTTTTAACAATGTTGTTGATGAATAAAAATATAGTTTTTTAATTTAGTATACTTGTGTTTGCATTTGATAGGTCATTTTGATTTAGACGGAGACTTGTATGTTGGAAAGCAATTTGCTAACAGAAAAACTATTATACGAGCAATTAAGTGTTATAGTATAGCAAATAGAATGGACTACAAAGTGGTTGAGTCTGAACCCAAAATGGTGTTGGCATAATTTCTGATCGACATGAGTCAATTAATGCAGCAATAAGAAGAAGTAATGGAGAGTGGGAACCACCAAGAGCTTTTCACATGTATTGCATTAGGCATATTGCGGCAAATTTTTTACGAAGATTAAAGGCGGGTTGTCACATGTATGTTTCATAACCTTATTGTACTTTTAATAAAAATGTTAAACAAATAAATATATACTATTAAATGTACTAATATGAATCCTTGTATTTTTTTTTTCAGGTTATTCAAGAACTGAACGTGAATATAATATTTGTTATGAGCGTTTACGGGAACGTGGAGAGGTTTACTCAAACTGGCTTAATGAAATTCTCTGAGAGAAATGGGTTATAGCATTTGATGGAGGACATAGGTGGGGTCACATGACGACAAATTTGGTTGAGTGCATTAATTCAGTGTTAAAAGGTGCCCGAAATCTTCCAATCACTGCCCCATTAAGAGCAACTTACTTTCGATTGACTGAGTTATTTGCTCGGAAAGGGAGTGAAGCATATGCACGAAGAAAGGTCGAACATATTTTCTCTGAATTTGTGACAACCCGACTTCAATCAAATGAGGTAGGCACCATAAACTTGTGTATTACTCAATTTGATAGACGAAGTGAGAGTTTCCATGTTGAGGATTTATCTAATAGGCAAGAATATAGAGTTGATCTGAGGCAAAGGTATTGTGATTATGGTGATATGCATACTAATAGATATTTGTGTCGTCACGTGATTGCTGCATGTTGTAGTAAAAACATTGATTGACGTGCTTATGTTGATGATGTTTATACGATTAATAAAATATGCAAAGTTTATAAGAAAGAGTTTGCGGTAATTGGGAATGAAAACACATGGCGTCGTTATAGAGGACCAAAACTTTGTCCTAATCCTAACTTGAAGCGCACAGGTAAAAGTCATCCCAAATCAACTCGTTTTCTAAATGAAATGGATATGCGTGAAATGAGAAGACCAAATCTTTGTCAAGCTGAGAACCATAGTCGACGAGGATGTCCTCATGCTCCAGGACCAAGTATATGATCTGTAGTTATGATGATGTTGTGTAGTGTTAATTTTATTTGTTTGGAGTTGTTCTAAATATTGTTTAAAAGTTATCAATGTGATTTGCTTGTGATGTTATAAACATGGTTATTTTAATTAGTCAAACTAACAATACATGACAAAGTTAAGTACTCAAACAAATTCAAATAACAGACAACATGCGATTACATTATACAAAAAAATAAGCAAACAAACTACAATTAGTACTAACAACCTGGCTATCCTCCTTTGCCCTTTTTCTTTTTGATTAATGACGGACTATATCTATCATGGGGTTGAGTAAAAGGACGTAACAGACGTGTAAAATATCCCCTGTGTCTTCCTCCTCTATTTGCATCATCACTTACACCTTGCTCCTCCTCATGCTCATGCACTTGTTCCTCCATATGACCAGAAGTTAGGATGAATGTGCTATCTTGTTGCGTGACATCCAATGACATCATTGGCATAGACCATTGATTTTCGGGTGAGAATATTCCCTGTGGTACAGGCTCATACTCTGGTGTCACTGGTTGTGGTCGATACATATCCTCCTTATGTACTAGTTCTTCTTCTACAGTTGCATCCTTATTTAAGTCAAAGTTAAATTGTTGATTGAGTTGGGAACTTTGACCTTCATCAAGTCCAAAGTCATATATGCACATAAATTAACCAGACATCACAGTAGCACTGTTACAATCAATAGACCTCATACCTTGTGATTCCCTGCTTATTGATCCATCATGAATATTCCTTCTATGAACCGACATTTGTTGTTGTTCTTGAGGTATGGGTTCTTCATCCCATTGAAATGGTTGCCACTGGTTTGTTTGTGGGGACCAATAATATTCTTGATTTGGTTGAACTGAGGATGGTGGGATACCCTAATGTTGCATGGGTGATGTATCCATAGAAAACTCCTCAGGATGGGAAAGTAGTGCTCGTTGGGAAACTGCTCTTGTTGGGGTGATAGTTACTCCATCGGTTGGCATAACCATAGCCAATTTGCTGCATAAAGTGTGTACCATGCCCAATATTCAGCTGAAGGATAATAGTTATCAATCTCTAATCCTTGTAATATACAATGATACTGATGCTCCCACATTATCACCCAATCATCATGAATGACCCTCCAATTCTTTGGTTCTCTCAATCCCCGCAAGTCTTTGTTATGAACC